TCCAGCAGGAAATGGATTCCAGCCTCGGGGTGGATTTGAGGATTGCATGATCTAACCCTCTGCCTTTGAACAGAATACAATTAAGTATTCTGAAAATAGAATAGTAAAACAGAACTGTGTTTCCAGCAAGTTCTCTTTGTTGAGCCATTTTGGTATCCCTTGAATTCCATTTTTTATGACTATCCTCAATTTTTCATGCTCTAATTTCCCCAACCTTTTCTGAACTAAAATGGAAAACAGTTGCCTAGCTCCCTCTGAAGGGAGAAGTTGAGCTGTTACTTAGTCATTCCTCCCACTTCTCTTCCCTAAAAGATCACAATTCCTTTCATTCTGTTTTTCCCATCCTAGGTCATTCTCTGCACTCTCTCCATATTGTCCAAATAAATAAAAATTCAAAACTGAGCACCAGATGTATATGCCTCTTTATCCAACCTCTCCTTATCACAAACTGTTATTACTCAGTTTGGTGCCTGGACCACAGTATATGCACAGGTAAATGAAGGAGGATCCAGTTTACCTATCGAGAACTTGCTGACTTCTGCTCCTAATGATTTCTCTGTGGAGCTCTCAGAGGCACCCTGAGCTTCTCTGTAAAAAGATCAACAGGGAGAATGACCAAAACCATGAAGTCCAAAACCCTGCGTGATCTCCCACCCACCTTTCCTGGCCAATATCCTCTGCCAGCCTCATCCTTGACCTTGTCTTCCAGCTGCTCTGGAGAATGAAGGCTGCTAAACCTCCCTTCGTGCCTCCTGACCTTACCGATGGCTTCTCCCTCCCTTCTGGCTGTGGAAAGCCCACGCAAGACCCAATGCACACATCCTCTCTTCCCTCAAGACCTCGCAGATGCCTTCTCAGAGAGTCTGCCCCAGGGTCTTTGCACCTGCCTCTGCTGAGTACACTCTCCCCCTAGATCTTGGCATGGATGGCTCTTTCCCATAATGCCTGTCCGAGCCCAAAGTTCACCTTTTCAAGGAGGTCTTCCCTGACTGCATTAGCTAAAGTTGCAAACCTCCATCAACTCTCTATCCCTGTGTGTTATTTTCTTCCTATCACTGGCCACTATCTGAAATTCCTAAGTTTCATTACCTTCCACGAGATTAAAAACACCATGAGAGCAAAGGTCCTGGCTGCTTTGTTTCCTGTGTGTCCCCAGCATTTGGTGCCTGGACCACAGTATATGCACAGGTAAATGAAAGAATTGGCTACTCTCACTCTAGTGGTGTCACCATCACAAGTATTTCTTTCTGCCTTAAGATAGGTGTGTGTTTGACACATGGACACCCTGCAGCACATGTAATGAGCACCTCATATGTCCTAGGAACTCAGGAAATTTGCGTTGAATTAAAATCCCCAAGTAGAGCTCTTTTGACAGCTTCCCTTAACCTGAATCAGAGGCTGCCTTAATTTCAATGTGCGAATAAGTAAAAAGGTAAAGCCGAAATAAGGGGCTGAATCACTTCTCAGAAATAAGGGCTTCTAAGAGCAGTGAAAACATTCTCATTCTCTGTCTCTCTGTCTCTCTGTCTCTCTCTCTGTCTCTGTCTCTCTTTCTCTGTCTCTCTGTCTCTGTCTCTCTCTCTCTCTCTCGAAAGTCTGCTGATCTCAGCAAAGGCCTCAAACCACTTTTTAAAAATTTTTCTTTCTGCACATATCTGAATGTGAGCTGACTAGTCAAGTTCCTGAAATGGGTCAGAATCAGGCTGGCTTCAATTTTTTTCTCAACAGAAGTCAAACAATTAAAAAGAGGGGTGATGGCTGATTGAATTCTGAAATGAGAGTTACAATTTTCCCAGGTTGTTGGGTCAGTTTTAGGTTTGGCCAGAGGGACAGCTTACACTCAACACGCACCCTGTGGAAGGTGGGGATGAGCTTCAGCCGGGGCTGTCCGTGCACGGTGTGGTCCGAGCTGCCCTTTAACCCGTGTGGACAGGGCCAATGAATCAAGCCAGCAGCGCTGTCTCCCTGCTGACTGAGGGCGCCGGCCTTATCGAGGAGCCAGGGTCCCCCTGCTCCTGCCGCTGTGACATCTGGAAGCATTAAGGCTCCCTTGTGGTGTGTGGGCCAGCTGGAATGTCCCTGCTTAGTTGGGTACCTGGCGTTTTCTGGCCTTAAATATCGGTGATTACGCAGTTTACTTTCCTTCATTCTTTTTTTTGTTGTTGTTCATTCCTTAAAAGCAACATGACACAGAGCCCTGTCATTGCAGGGGTGATGGGTTGTTACCAAAGTCGATAACAGGAAATCTCACTGAGGATAAACAGAGCGCATCGGTCATTGCTGAGGAACACATGGTTCTCATTTAACCTGCTGAGGACTAATTGTGAATGCTTCGGAAGCACAAAAACAGGAAAACTCCCTTCTGATAGACACACCAAGTTTCTTCTGACCCAAAAGAGCTTTGTCAACATTGTTAGACACTGAGAAGCAATTATCTCCCTAGCTGTCGGGGAGCCAACTTCACTCACTTCTCCTTAATAATCTAAATTTATGACCTAAAGCATATTTCAGGCCTCCCATAAAGTTTTGAAACTTTAGACTTAATGAATGTCATCTAGGTTTCTCTTTTCACTGCTCTGACGTATATACTCTCAGGAAAAGAGTGTAAGAGGTTAGACAGATGGTTACACATGAAACATGGCGTCCAGAAAATGATTATTTGCCTTTTGATAAAAGAGTAATAATAAAGTGTCCCATCTTATAAATGCAGAGATAACTCAGTGAATCATTAGGTGTGCTACTTTATCCTTTAGCATAAGATGGGTCCAAGAGCTAGAACCAGAATTTAAATAAACCAGTACCATTCCAAGAACTGCATTGTGTCCCATAGCAGGGCTACTGACTCATTTATTATCCAAACCAACAGACCGTTCTGCTTCTAAAATGTTTCATTATCTGGGGAAGTAAAATTTTTGGCATGCATGTCAAGTGCTCGGATAACATATTTCTGTCTCACTTTTTTTTTTTTCACTAAAGAGAATCCGACCGCATCTGGAAATTCTTCTGTGTCACTGCTTCTCTGAAACTACATCCTATCTGTATCATTTTAACTCCAGTGAAAGGCCATCCCCACGTTCGGGAAATGGGCCTCGCCTGGGAGACTCGCCTCTCTCTCTCTGAGCAAATGTAGATGAATTCCGTTTCACAGGGCAGCTTGGTGGTGGACTGCTCTCTTGACTTTGCAGCATGTTGGCCTGTCTCACCCAGAGGAAAAGGGTGCAGGGGAGTGGGGAGGGAACCACATCGTTTTAGCCAGACCCTAGAGCTGGTGGGGGAAAAAAGTCATTAGCTTTTATCGTAAGAAGTTAGATGTTCAGTGAGAT